AGCCACCGTACTGTTTTCCATAGTGGCTGTACCACTTTACATGCTCACCAGCATGCATGAGAGTTCCAGTTTCTCCATAGCCTCATCCTCATTCTCCACATTCTTGTTCATATATAAATATGTGTATCACCTTAATGAGTATGAGATGGTATCTCATTGAGCTTTGATTTACATTTCCCTAATGACTAGTGATGTTGAGTACCTGTTCATGTGCTTAACAGTCATTGATATATCTTCTTAAATGCCTATTTAGGTCCTCTGTCCATTTTTGAATGGGTTGTCTATGGATTTTTTTGTTGTTGAGTTGTAGTTGTTTATATATTCTGGATATTAATCCTTTATCAGATACATACTTTGCAGATATTTTCTTCCATCTGTGGGTTGTCTTTCCACCTTCCCCCACACTCAAAATAGGGTTTGTTTTTAGGCTGTCTATTCCATTCCACTGGTCTATGTGTCTATCCTTATGCCAGTATCACACTGTTTTGATTCCTGTAGCTTTGTAGTAACTTTGAAATCAGGAGTTGTGAGTCCTCCAACTTTGTTCTTCTTTTTTAAGGATTGTTTTGGCTATAAAGGTTCCATATGAATTTTAGGATGAAAAACAAAAAGCATTGGAATTTGGATATGATTTTGAATTTGTAGACAATCTTGGGTAGTATTGTCATCTTCACAATATTGTCTTTCAGTCCATTAACATGGGATGTCTTTCCATTTATTTGTGTCTTCTTTAATTTCTTTTAGCAATGTTTTGTAGTTTCCAATGTATAAGTCTTTCACCTTGTTGGTTAAATTTATTCCTAGGTATTTTATTCTTTTTGATGCCATTGTAATTGTTTTAGTTTTCCTTTTTGGATCATTCATTTTTAGGGTATAGAAATGCAACTAATTTATTTTGGTATCATTAATCTACAATTAAATGAAGAATATTATGTTTACTAGGCTCCCCCCTTCACCAAGTCCCCCCACATACCCCTTCACAGTCACTGTCCATCAGCGTAGTAAGTTGCTGTAAAATCACTACTTGTCTTCTCTGTGTTGTAGAGCCCGCCCCGTACACCCTCCACATTATACATGCTAATTGTAATGCCCCCTTTCTTTTTCCTGTCCTTATCCCTCCCTTCGCACCCATCCTCCCCAGTCCCTTTCCCTTTGGTAACTGTTAGTCTATTCTTGGGTTCTGTGCTTCTGCTGCTGTTTTGTTCCTTCAGTTTTTCTTTGCTCTTATACTCCACATATGAGTGAAATCATTTGGTACTTGTCTTTCTCCACCTGGCTTATTTCACTGAGCATAATACTCTCTAGCTCAATGCATGTTGTTGCAAATGGTAGGATCTGTTTTTTTCTTATAGCTGAGTAATATTCCATTGTGTATCATCTTCTTTATCCATTCATCTACTGATGGACATTTAGGTGAAATGCAACTAATTTTTGTGTGTTGATTCTGTATCTTGCAGCTTTACTGAATTAGTTGATTAGTTCTCACATAGTTTTTTATCTTTAAGGTTTTCTGTAGAAGAGATTATGTAGTCGACAGAGATAATTTTGCTTCTTCCTTTCCATTTGAATGCCTTTTATTTCCTTTTCTTGCCTAATTGCTCAGGCTACAATTCCAGTACTATGTTGAATACACATGGTGAGGGTGGGAATCCTTGTCTTGTTCCTGATCTTAGGGAAAAAACTTTTAGTGTTTTACCATTGAGTGTGATGTTAGCTGTGGGCTTTTCATATATGATCTTAATCATGACCTTAATCATGAATTTTCTTTCTTTTCTTGATTTATTGAATTTTTTTAAATGAAGAATGTATATTAAATTTTGTCACATGCTTTTTCTGTATCACTTGAGATGATTGTTTTTTCTTCCTTTTATTAATGTGATTTCTTACAATGATTTATTTTCATCTGTTGAATCATCTCTGCATTCTGGGAATAAATCCCACTTGGTCATGGTGTATACACCTTTTAATATGCTGCTGAATTCGGTTTACTAGTATTTTGTTGAGTTTTGCATCAATATTTATAAGGGATATTGGTAGTTTTCTTATAGTATCCTTTTTCTGGATAAAATCCATTCAGATTTCCCATTTCTTCATATTTGATAGATTGTGTGTTTTTAGGACTTTGTCCATTTCATCTAGGTTGTCCAATTTGTAGGCATACAAATGTGCATAGTATTCTTTTATAATCCTTTTTGTTTCTGTAAAATTGATAATAATGTCCCTACTTTTATTTCTGGTCTTAGTTATTTGAGTTTTCTTTGTCAATTTCATTGATCTTTCCAAAGAACCAACTTTTCATGTATTGATTCTTTTCCTATTGTTTTTCTATTTCATTTATTTTACTCCAATCTATTATTTTCTTCCTTCTGCTAGCTTTGGGTTCAGTTTGCTCTGCTTTTCTAGTTTCTCAAGGTGTAACATTAGGTTATTGATTTGATGAGATCTTTCTTCTGTTTTAATGTCTGCATTTACAGCTATAAATTTCCCTCTCAGAACTGCTTTTGCTGCGTCTCTCAAGTTTTGGTAGGTTGTATTTTTATTTTCATTTATCTCAGGGTATTTGATATATCTAATTAGAATTAGATCTATCTAATTTCCCTTGTGGTTTCTTTTTTGATCTATTGGTTATTTTCCACATAATTGTGAATTTTCTATTTTCCTTCTGTTACTGATGACTAGTTTTATTCCATGTGATCAGAAAAGATCCTTTGTATGCTTTCAATCCTTTTAAATATATTAAGACTTGTTTTGTGGTGTATCTTGGAGAATGTTCCATTTGCACTTAAGATGTATTCTGCTGTTGTGGATGGAAGGTTCACATCTCTCTGTTAGGTATCTTTGGTTTATGGGACTGTTCATATCCTCAGTTTCCTTATTTTGTTCTTCCATGTGGTTCTGTTCTTGAGAGTGGTTTATTGAAGTCTCCATTGTTTTAAAGCTGTCTGCTTCTCCCTTCTTTGTGCTAACATTTGCTTTGTATATTTTGGGGCTCTGATATTTGGTGCATATGTTTGTTAGATCTTCTTGGTGAATTCACATTTTTATTATACATAATGTACTTCTTTGATACTTACAGCAGTTTTTTACTTCAAGTCTATTTTTTCTCATATTAGTATAGGTACCTAAGCTCTCTTTTGGACATTTACATGGAATATCCTTTTCCATCCTTTCACTTTAAACCTGTTTGTGTCTTTAGACCTAAAATGAGTCTTATGAAGACAACATATAGGTAAGTCATCCTTTTTAAATCCTGAGAGGAAAATGCTCTGTTTCTCCTCTACTCCTATATATAATGCTCATACTTCTCACACTTCTGACTCTTCTGGCCACCAAATTTGTGGGTTTTCCCACCAAGGAATTCTCCTGTTCTCTAGTGGACACAAACTGGATTCCCAACTTAATTCAAAAACCATCTACCCAGAGAGTGTCAGACCGCACAGGTGAAGGGCTCAGTCCCAAGTCCAGGCTGGCGCCTGTGCTTCTGACCAACTAGCTATTGCTCAACGTTCCCACAACCCCTCCTTGGTTCCATCATTTGCTAGAATAGGTCATGGAACTCAGAAAACACTTTACCCATTATTGCCTGTTTTACTACAAAGGATATTTCAAAGGACACATATGAACATCCAAGTGAAGAGATGTTTAGGGCAAAGCTTGTGGGAGGGGTGGGGAGCCCCAGCAGATAGGCCACCCCCCAATACCACCATGTGGCCACCAACTCAGAAGCCTCCAAGCTCCATCCATCTGAAGGGTTTTTAGGGGGCTTCAGTGACTAAATAATTGGTCATTGGTGACTGACCCAGCCTCCAGCTGCTCTCCCCTTCTTGGAGGTTGGGGTGGGGGCCAGAGTTCCAGTCCTCTCAGCGTGTGGCTGGCTCCACGGCAACCAGCTGCCGCCCTGTGGTTATTTAGGGGCTTTCCAGAAATCACCTCATAACAGTGAGAAGAGGCTGAAATGGGCTTGTTATGAATGACAGAGGATGCCCGTCACCTTCCTGGCTCATGGCTCCGGAAGTGCTGAGAGTGTCAGAGACTGTGCCAGAAATCGGACAAAGACCAAGTACAGATTTCTTACTACAAATCACAGTTTCAGAAGTCCAGTTTGCCAATGTCTGTCTTTTGACTGGACAGTTTAATCATTTACATTTAAGTAATTACTGATAATGGATAACTCATTCCTGCCTTTTTGCTGTGTTTTCTGTGTGTCTTGTGGCTTTTTTGTCCTTAATTTCTCCCATTACTGCCTTTTGTGTTCGGCTGATTTTCTCTAGTAACATTTGATTGCCTCTTGTGTATATTTTGCAGATATTTTCTTTGTGGTTCCCATGAGGCTTGCCCATGACATCTAAAAGTTATCATCTGAAGTTACAGCCCTCTAATTTGGATGGACACCAACATTCACATACAAACATTCCTGTGCAGCCCCACCTACCCACCCCCTTGAGGAGGAAAGGCAGCTGGGGCTCAGGGCCATCCTGCCCCGCCCTTTGCCTCAAAGACCCCTCACTCACAGGAACCTTCTTAATGGGAAGAAGGTGCAACAAGGTTGTTTGAATGGTTGCCTCCCCCTCACTGGCAAGCTTGCTAACCTGCTGTTGGCAGCTTGTCCAGGCCACACAGACATGTGTGGCGTGCTGACTCGGCCGCCCGAGCCCCGTGCTCTGACCGTGTGTCCTGTGGGTGTGGTGGCCAGCCTTCTCGGGCTCCCGTAATGTCTACAGGCCCAGCTGCTTCTGGTGAACCTCTTGCTGATTTTTGGTGAGGAGGTCCCCAGTATAGAGGAGGGGCTGAGGGCTTAGCCCTACTTTTGAATGCTCTGGACCAGCCACCCCATTTCTGGGAGAGGGTCAGCAGGACACAGGGACATGCTGGGATACCACCAGTTGGGCACCTCCTAGGGGCCTCCTTGCGTGGGTCTCTGTCCAGACCCTGTGGCACCACGGGTCCCGCCAACCCTCTGCAGGCTGCACTGTCTCACTCCCTCTGCCGTTCCAGAGCAAACCTACTGTGACCGCCTGGTCCAGGACACGCCTTTCCTGATGGGCTGCGGGCGCCTGAGTGAGCAGCAGGTGGACAGGATCATCCTGCAGCTGAACCGCTACTACCCCCAGATCCTCAGCAACAAGGACGCGGAAAAGGTGGCAGAAGGGCGGGTGTGGGTCTGGGCTGTGCTCCCGTCTCTTCCTAGTGGGTAGGTGGGGGTAGGACAGGTCCCTGGAGGTAGGAGCTTGTGGGCTTGAGACGACCTTGGACCCGGGGCGTGTTTCGTGAGCCTGTCTCTTCCCATGTCCTCGGGTCTGCTGGGCTTCCAGACACATGGGGAGCACCAAAGTAGACGAGACATGCCACTGCACGCGATAAACCTGGGGGGTGTGGGGGCAGTGGGTAGGGAGGCTGGGGGAGCAGGGTGCTACGGGGCCCGTGACTCCAAAGGCTCAAAATGAGCCAGTGTTTTGGGTGTGACCTGGCCTCCTGTTCAGGGACACGGGTGGGAGTGGGCACCCTTGTCCACCCCTACGCTTTGGCTCCCTTGTTGTGGGGGTGCCAGAGAGCAGACAAGGACCTGGAGAGAGCCTTTTCCTGTTGTAGCCCTGGCTTTTCCTTCCTGTATGCAGGGTAGCCATGCTTGTGCAGGGCTGTCCGCAGGCTTGGGGCCTCTCCTGGGGCAGGTGAGGCTGGTCCTCAACCGAACTGGAACCACATGGGCCCTGCTAATTCAGATGCTGCTGACATTATTAAAGTAGAGGCTCAAATTTATATCTGGTAATCAAAAGTAATACACGTCTATTGTAAAAAAAACTTGAGAAGTTGCAGATGTTTATACAAGAAGTGTGCTTGTCTGCACACACTTGCACAATTCCTTTCCTCAGGTACCTGGGGCGCCTGCTGGGCACTTGGCTTTGCAGTTTCTGTTAACACTGATTCCATGTAAAATGACATGGTGCCACCAGGTGGCAGCACCAGATCACAGCCTCTAGGTCATGGGGTCAGTGCCAAGTGCCCTGTCCCCTGACCTTAGAACAACACATTTCTCCAAGAAACACTTCAAAGAAGCCACATTTTTTTCTTATCTCTTAATTTATTGAATGGTTGAGTCACATTCTTATAAACTAAGTTACCACTTACACCATCATTGTGTCGAGCTTATCCTTACATGTGGGTTTTTTACTCCTTTTTTACAAATGATAGACCTGGTCTTAGGGGTGAAGTGACCTGTGAAGTTCCACGTGAGCACGAGGACCCCCCACTTCAACAGTGTTGCTGCCAACCTCCCTGGTGACCTGACCCGGCCTCCACAGGCCTGCTGTGATGTGCGCTCTCTGCCCCACCCCCATGTGGGCGTGGCTCTTGGTCACCCCATCCCTGGGTGCTCAGAGCACCTGGGTGGGACACCCCATGAGGAAGCTGGGGCCTCCAGCCCACAGCCACCTTTGCCACTCCGCACCTCATCTTCCCTTATGCCCCCAGTTTCGGAACCCCAAAGCATCCCTGCGCGTGCGGCTGTGTGACCTCCTGGGCCACCTGCAGCGGAGCAGTGAAAGGGACTGCCAGGAGTTCTACCGGGCCCTATACATCCATGCCCAGCTGCTGCACAGCCACCTGCCCAGCCGGCTTGCCCCCCGTAAGCCACCCACCACCTCCTCCACCAGAGGAAAGTCTGGACAATGCAGAGCTCTGTGTGTCTCTCTCTGTCCTCTGTCTCCCTTTGTCTCTGTTCCTCAGTCTCCTTGTCCCTACCTCCTGTCCCTCTTCTCTCTGTGCAAATTTTCACACAAAACTAGCATCTCTGTAACTAGTACACCTTACGCTCTCATGGGACTGGCTCACACTGTGGGCGGCCTCAGCCTTGAGTGAACTCACCCCACAGTGGATGTCCACGAGGTCGCCACAGTGTGGGTGTTTGTGTAGAGCACAGACAGCTGGTCCAGGGCATGTGTATTGGTTTAGAGGGCCCTCCCTGTGGGCCCAGAAGGCACATGAGCCTGGAGGATCCTCTGAGCTGCAGGGTGGGGACAGGGAGCTGTAGGCAGGAATGGTCGCTCAGTCCCCGGGGACAGCAGCTACTGTCCCTCGATTCTCGCATGAGAGGCTGCAGATCCCAAGGGACAGGGTGGCTCATCCTAGGCCATCAGGGCTGGCTCCTCTGACCCCAAGGAAAGGCCAGCAGGACTGGGCCCTGACTTCCAGCACCCAAACGTCCCGTCATGCTAGCAGCCAGGGCCCCACAGTCCTGCTGTGAATCAGACACCTTCTGAACTCCTGGTTCCTTTGGTGGGCCACCATAACGTGGCTGGTTGGGGAGCCCCAGGAGGCGGGGGGTGGGGGCAGAAGGCCCTGTTGTCCTGTGCACACCATCAGACTGGACAGGCGGGTGTTGGCCCCACCCTGTGGCCATCCAGGTCCCAGGAAGCAGACAAAAGGACAAGATTCCAAACTGCAGAGTCCCTTCCCCTCCCCACTTCCCCCAGGGCTCTGTGGGAGGGGCCTCAGCAGCCCCCTGGGTTCCTTTGTATTGGCCCTCCACTAACCACTCCTGTGACTTTGCTTCCAGAGAACTCAGATTGCACAGAGCTAGCCTCGGGCACCGGCCGCGCACACAGTGACAGGGGTAAAGCTCGCCCTGGCTCGGCCTCAGCCTCGGGGCTTGTTGCCCAGGCAGGCTCCTTCCGGCTTCCTGCTGGGTGGCCCCCTGGGGCTGGTGGGGCGCCCTTAGGCTCAGGCAGCCCTGTCTGTCTCCGCAGGACCGGTGGCCTTCCTGGCCTACCTCGGCCTAGCCATAGGGCTGGCGCTCCTGGCCTATGGCCGCCCTCGCGGTGAGTGCTGCTGGCCACCCCCCACCCCCACCCCCACCCTCTGGCCCTCCATGCATGTTCCCTCCCCGTGGGCAGCACGGTGCAGGGCCCACCTTGCACAGCGCAGGAGAAATATGCGGTGGGGCCCAAGCCCACCAGGCCCAGCCCGGGTGGCCATCACGCCCGTGCCTGGGGGTGACAGCCCCTCACAGGATGAGGCACACAGCACCCCACGTCTGGGCCTGTGTCATGGCCCAGTGGGAAAGCCCCACTGTCCTCTCCCTCCACACCAAGTTGTTGAGGTTGTGGTGGGCTGATGTGCTCTGCAGTGGGGCTCAGAGGAGTCCACCTTGGCAGGGCTGAGACCCCCTTGTCTTCCAGACCCCAGGGTGCTGCCAGGGGCCAGGCGCGTCCTGGGCTTCTCCCCCATCATCCTTGACAGGCACGTCAGCCGCTTCCTGCTGGCCTTCCTCACAGATGCCCCACTGAGGCTCTGACACCCCAGCCCTGCCCTGGGGTGAACAGCATCTTCTCTATGAACTTGCTTCCTGTATTTATAATCCTGTTAAGTGCTCACCCTTGCCTTACAAAGTAGCTCAGCGGAATTAAATGTGGAGGCTTCTCTCATCTCTTCACTCAGTTTTCTAGATGATACTGGCTCCTGTGCATTTTCTCCTGGCAGGGGCTGACCTGAGGGCTCCCAGTGTCCCGCGTCCAGCCTGGGCCCAGGTCCTGCCCAGGCCGCCCTCTGAACTCCTGCAGCCTGCGCCTCACCCCCCCACGTGGGCTCCCTGCCATGTGTCTGTCCCCTCCATGGCCCTTCTCCGGACCCCACTCCCCACCTGCAGCCTCAGGTGGGGGTAGGGGAGTGCCAGCCACACACCTGAGATGCCCCTGAACCAATTCCTCCTGGCAGGTGAGCTGCGGTCCCCCACTTCTCAAAGAGGAAACAGGTCACTCAGCTAGGAAAGAGTCACCTGGTATGTGAGGGGATCTGAGCTCGGCCACTGTCCCTATTCCCCTTCCATGATGTGTCCAAGGAGGCCCACTGCCTCAGCCCCCTTGTCCCTGTCCAGGCACCAGAATCAACAACAACTCTCCTGCCCCGTACCAAGTCCTGGGAGCAGAGCCCCTGCCTCCTGGGCTTGGCAGGTCTGGGGCAGGGTCAGGCACAGCTATGGTGAGAGCCTAAAAAAGAACACAGAATCTTGTGCTGGATTCCAGGGGGTCAAGACTCAGAACAGTCCACAGAACCTTCTAGAACTTATAGAGATGAAAAACAGTTTTGGGCTCCTGCTCCTCATATCGTCCTCAACAGCCTGGGGTTTGACTGAACCTGGCCTCTCCTGATCAGGGACCAGACCTGTCCTCTCCATCAGGGTGCGTGTGCTGCCTGTCACCTGCTGGCCTCAGGCTTAGGACCCTGATGTGCCCACATCTCTTGTGGACGCGAGGGGGGGTGTACGAGTCCAAGCGGGCCTAGGGCCCCGCCCTCTGCACCCACTGTCAACCCTGGGGGCTTGTGAGCAACCACATCCCTGACACTGGGTCCCAGACACCCCTGCCCTCTTGCAGGCGCCCCTTCACAGGGCACCTCCACCCCCACTGCAGAGCAGAAGGCTTCAGCAGCCCAGATGGGGTTCTACCACCCCTCCCTCCACACACTCACGTGCACACACATGCACATGCAAACACATGCTCACACGCCAGGCTCAGGCCCTCCTCCTGATTGCCAACCCCGTCTGCTACCCCCACCCCACCCCAAGCCTGTTTTTAAGGAAACAAGCACATTTGTCCACCCAAGAATCATCATGAGTTTGCATTTTCCACAGGGTATGGGGTTTCCGGAGGTGCTTGGGCAGCTGGTCTCAGGCTGGCGGTTGAGCGTGTGGGGGAGGTGGGGGTACATGTGCCTAGGGCAGGCCACTGCCCCCGCGCTGTGTGCTGCGCACAGCCCCACTTGGCCTTGCTCGGGGGTGGGCGAGGGGCCTATGAACCTACCTGCTCCCCTCCAGCCCTCCTCCGGACACCTGGTGACTGGAAAGGTGTGCCGTGCTCCAGACTCCTGACAAACCAGCTCTGTTGCCACACTGGCTGGCCGGCCAGACCAGGGGCCAGGTGCCCGCACCTGTCCTGGATACTGTCAGAGGCGGCGGGGCTTCTCGAGGTCAGCAGACCCCTGTGGCTGCTGTCCAGTCTGCATCCCCCACTCATCTTGAGCTGCAACACCAACTCGGGTAGATCTCTTCCTAGGGTGTTTTCTGTGCCTGTCTTGCTCTCCTGGTGAAGGTGGTAGGCTGACCAGATGAAGGGTCAGTCAGGGCAGAGCTGCCCCAGAAGGTGAAGGGAGACCAAGTGGTGTTAAAATGTCACCGTCATAGAAAACACAGGCCATAGTGTGATAGTGTGAAGACTTGTGCCCCCAGATCCACACATTGATTCCTAACCCCCAGGGCGAGGGTGTTAGGAGGTGAGGCCTTTGGGAGGGGATGAGGTCATGAGGGTATAACCCCCGTGATGGGAGCCCCTCAGCCCTCCTGCCATGGGAGCACACCCGGGGAAGCAGGTTCTCACCAGACACCTAGTCTGCTGGTGCCACAATGCAGGCTTCACGCCTCCAGAAATAAACATCTGCTGCTTACAAGCCTCCCCATGTGGGCCTTTGCTGGAGCAGCCTCAAACTAGGACAGCACCTCCAGGGAACCGACCCAGACAGGCAGGCCCGGCAGGCCTGCAGCAGGAAGACCGTGGCACTGTGCGCCTGACACAAGGGAGGCCGCTGCTCGGGTGAGCCTGTGACAGGGGTCCCCTCCCCAGGTGGGGAGGGCAGTGCCTGCCCGGGGCCCCAGGACCTGCCTGCTGAGCTGCAGTGCTGGGTGCCCACCCAGGCTCCCGCTGGCTCTCTTCCTTTGCTTACTTTCCCCTTCCAACCTCGACCCACCGAGGCTTTTCCCTCACTGCCCAGAGTCAGCCCTTGGTCATGATCAGGCCTTTGCCCACCTCTCCACTGAGGTCCCGGCCACCCCTGTCGACTGCCTGGGGCACGCAGGGCCTCTGTTCCTAGGCTGGGGCTCAGGAGGTGAGCAAGGGGCAGCCATGTCTAGGCTCAGTCCGTCCCCACCAGGCCGCCCCACCTGCCACCTGGGCAGTCTGCCCCTTCCCTAGGACTGCCAGGGAAGGGGGGAGCCCCCACTACAGGGCAGGGCAATAAAGGGACGTGAGGAGGAGGGGAGAGGAGGAGGGAGGAGGCTGAGGGGGTGTGTGGGCTGGGGAGGCAGCAGGGTAAGCAGAGGTGAGGAGGTGCTCTCCAGAGGTGGGGGTCCTGGGACCCGTTTGGCCCTGACGCCACAGGCGTGGCATGTGGCTTTGGCCACGTGGGGACAGAGGCTGTTTCACAGCTGGACTTGGAGCTGTATGTTGCACAACTCCAGGAGCCTCCAGGGCTTGCTGACTATGCAGGGCCAGGACGGCCTGGCCCTGCAGACACAGGGGTGGCATCCAGTCCCTGGTCAGCATTGTGCCATTGGGTTTGAGGGCCCCTCCCTCTGTGCTGGCCTGGCAACCCCCGAGTTGTCCCAGGTGGGGCAGCAGGGCCCTGAGTGCATGGTGATGAGGGCAGGGCCCGCTGGCTGGGCACCCAGCAAAGTGGTGTCTGCCCTGAAGTGAATGCGAGAGGGGCTGGAAAAGCATTGGCTGCCTATGAAAGATGGAGGGACACCCGCACACAGCACGGCTGCCAGCTCAGTCCCTCTGCCCCTGGCGGTCTCCAGACAACCCTCATCCATCCTGAGTGCAGGTCAGATGGGGACAGTAGGGACACACTGGGTTAGCTGCGCAGTAACAGCTTCACTGCACATGAGGTGCAGGGACCAGGACAGCTGGAGTAGCCTGCATGCCCTCTCCTGCCATCTGTGACCCACATGTCATCTGTCACCAACCTAGACCACTTACCTCCTGGCAGGCAAGCTAGTACCTGTCCTCCAGCTGCGCCATGCCACCCTCTCCACCCCGTCTCCACTCCCAAGCGTCCAGCTCTCTGTTGCATCCTTGCATGTGCACATCCTTCTTAAGCACCCCCCACTTACGCTCAGGTCCCCACCATCCCGAGAGGGCAAAGCTGAGCAGGGGGCGGCTGGCTGCATTCCTGCCAGGGCTGTTGCACTCGCTGTGGCCTGGGCATCCTGACACACACACAGGGCCCAGCTCGCATGGACAGCACCTACGATATGCCTCACACGGTGCCAAGGACAAGGCTGCAGGTGGTGGCATCTGGCAGGACAGCTGAGCATGAGGTCCCATAAGCACACAGGAGGAAGGCATGAATGGGGGCTGCCTCCTCTCCCACTCAAGCCTTAGCCTCTTGACCCTCCCCCAGGAACCCTTCTTGGGGCACAGCTGGGCAGGCAGGGCTCAGACACAGCACCAAAGGCAGAGTAAGCCCAGAGGGCCTGCTGCACAGTGCCCTGGAGAGGGCAGCACATGCCAAGGCCCTGAGATTGGACAGTGTCTGGAGGGCCAGGATGAGCCTGCTGCTTCCGCATGGGAAGGTGGGGGCTGTTATGAATCCTGGGGGCCACCTGAGGCTGGGCCACATAGACCCGCCCACTGCTTAGCCCTTTCCCCAGGGTCCCCAGCACTGTGACTTGGTGGCCAAGGACTCAGTCTAGCCATGGGGGACTCTACTCCAGCTATGTTCTGGCGAACTTCCTGTCCTGGCTGAAAGGGGAACCATGCCACCAGGGTCCTGCCCTGTGAGACCAACACAGGGGCTGCCACCCCACATGGCTGCCCACATGACACGCACTCCAGCACCCCGGACTTGGTGCTGGGAGGCCACCACCTTTGCCAGGCCCAGGCAGGCTGGCCTGGGCAAGTGGCCTGGAGCTGTCCTGGACACACTGGGACAGCCAGGAGGGGGGAGCAAAGAGGACTGGATGGGGAGCATCAGGCCAACTGACACAAGGGCAGGTAGGGGAGCAGGTCACAGGTGTGAGCTTGAAAGCCCAGCTGTCTGGTGAAGCATGCCACAGTGACACAGCAGGAGGGCTGGCCCGACCCCCACTGTGTCTGCCCGGGACCTTGCCCTGTGGCTGGGAACACGCTCACTCACTGTCCGCCTGCGCGCCTTGATCCTGGTGGGCCTCGTCCCAACAGGTGGGTCACTGTCAACCACCATCCTTAGGGGGACACGAGGACTCCCACCAGATTGTGGCCTGGCTCAGCTCTGTGGCACCTCCCCCTCCCCCCTTGTCCTGGAGTATTTTAAAGCAAGCCTAAGGCAGGCCACCTCAAGCTAACCCCAATGCGCTACTGTTTACCTACCGTCACTCACACCATAGAGGCCCGGCCACCTGAAGGTCCCGTGGGACCAGGACCCAGTGCTGGCTGCCCCAGGCACAGACGGTTGCTGGAAGAACCACGAGGGGGAGGGGCCTGGCAGCTCTGAGGGCTCGTGCCCCAACAGTGTGGCTCAGAGAGGCTGCGAAGGCCGCAGGTGGGGGGCCAGGTATCCCACCTGGAGGGGCCAAGTGAGGGCAAGCTTATGCCCCAAGGAGATGAGGTGCGGGCGAGGTGGGGGGTTGGGAAGGAAGGATGAGGCGGTGGTGGGTGGGCTCTGGCCCTGCAGGCCTCGAAGGCGGACAGGGCTCCCATCCAGGTGAGGTGAGGACCCACAGGCAGGCCCATACCTGGTACGAACCCTGCCCTCCTCAGCCCCTCAGCTGACTGGTCAGCAGCTCAGGCAGCAGGGGTCTGGGCTGTGGGTTTGGAGGGGAGGAGTGTGTGCCAACTGCAGGAAGCCTGAGAACTGGAGCCCTCCCTGAAAGGCTGGCCAGGGACCTGTGGCTGCGTGTCCTGAGGACATGTGGGGTGCCATGTCAGAAGTCGGGGGGCCCACGTGGGCTGGGGCCTGCAGGGCAGGGGCAGGGCCTGGGGAAGTGGGGAGAGGGCTGCACTGGGAGCTACACAATTTGGAGCAGGGGCCTCAGCTAGCTTTATTGGTGTGGCTGCTTAGGAAAGTGGGGCTGGGGCCTGCCTGGCATGGCTGGCAGATGGCCGTACCAGCACTCACAGCAGTGGACAGGGGGCACTGGTGGTCCAGGAAGCACGGAGGCTGTGGGCCGCCCACAGCTGGCATGGGGTAGGGTGTCTCCCCACCCCTCTGGCCCTGGCCAGTCCATCCTTGGGCCTGCCGTGTGGCCGTGGTGACAACCCTCCTTGGGGGCTCGCCAGTTCTGTCTCGGACCTCACCAGCCCACACTCCAGGGAGAGCAGCTGAGGGCAGAGCAGGCCATGCATTGGCCCCTGGTGGCCTAACCATGGGAGGCTTAACCCGGGACACAGTCCAGTGGGCCCGGTCAGGGCTCCAGTGGTTTCGGGGAATGCCTCAGGCAGGGAGTAGACCTCAGGGGTCAGGTGGCTCCCGGGGTCTGGCAGCTGCAGCAGGGTGTGATGGGGGCATCTGCAAAGAAGGGACAGGAGAGGCGTGAGGGCTGCCGGGCCTCCACCCTGCCCTGGTGGCCCTGCCTCAGCGGTGTATCCAGTGACCAGCCCACAAGCCTCTGCCTCTGGCATCAGCAGGGCCCAGGGCTAACCTGGGCAAAGTTTCCCCTCCTGGGTCACTGTCAGGATTTAGAGGCCTGCCCTCACTGTGTCCCTCCCTTGGGGAGGGAGCAGGGGCTGGGCTGACCCATGGGAGAGGAAGGGCTGTTTGGGACACACAGCAGGTGATTAATAAATGGCCTGGTCACCCCACCACGTGTGAGGGAGCAGGCTGGCATCCAGAGGGTTCTGCAGGGCATGAATATAATAGCACCTGGGGGCCAGCAGTCAGGCGGCAAGCTGGGCACTAGGTAGGGCTGATGGCCAAGGCTTGGGCAGGGGTGCATGCTCCCAGTGTTCTGGAAAGTTCTCTAGGATGTTCCCAACACTTGGGCCTGGGAAGCCTGTTGTCCTCTCAGCCCTGGGGCGTTGCTGGTGGGCCAAGGGGCCCACCCTCCTAAGGGGTAGCCTTGATGCCATGCAGCCTTGGCCAGGGTCGATGCAGGGCACATGGCACATGCCCACCTTCCATGTGTCTCCACTCCCTGGGTGCTATGTCTGGGCACCCTGGGCCCATACAGGAGGGGCTGCTTTGTCTGGTGTGCTAGAGGATTGCCTGCCTCCCTGCTGCTCCTGCTCCAAGCAAGGTGACCTTGGGTGGGTGCTTGGCCTCTTTGGGCAAGGATAGGGCTGTACGTTGGCGGGTGCGCCTACTCTGCGTGCTCACGGGGCTGGGTGTGAAAGGCTGGAGCCCCCCAGGCCTACATGGGAGCCAGAAGGTGTAGGGGCGGCTCACCTGAGCCCCTACTGCCGGGGCGCTGCGTCTACCCCAGGCTTCTGGACACCGAAGGCAGTGATGAAGATGTTCACCACTACAATGATGAACACCAGGCCCGTGGCCAGGTTGTTGAGGAAATCCAGCTTGGCGTGCTTGGCAGGGTTGTTGAGGTCGTACCTGACTGGGGGGAGTGGACGCTGAGGGGTGCTGCGGGTGGGCTGAGTGCATCTCCCAGAGAGGGACGCACCTGCATTAACACCCGCGGGCAGTGGGCTCACCTGGCAGCCTGACGTCCATCTCCCTGCAACCCCTGTTTTCTCACAAGCAGCCAGTGTCTGGTCAGTGACCGCAAGGCATGCCCACGGCCAGGTCTGGGTTTGAAGGCACAGAGCGCTGAGCAGGCACCTCTGAGCACTATGCACAGTGACCTAGCAATCCTCACACCAACTCCAGGCCTCGTCCTTACACCTACTTTACAGGCAGGGAGACCAAGGCCCAGAGGGTCAAGTAACCTGCCCGATGTCACACAGCTATGACCTAGTCCAGACCCTCACCTAGGGGCCACCCTCTAGTCCCTGTGGACTGTAAGGACCAGCTGGTACATGGTAGGTGCTCAATACACCTCAGTTCTTTTCCTATGTCCTCAGCATGGGCAGGTAGGACAGACACACAGGGGCCCTCGGGGCTGCACAGGGCTGAGCGAGGTGGGCCGGCAAACCCCCATGCCTAGAGCATGTCAGGTGGTAAGCGCCCCATCCCAGGCTGTGCAAGCAAAGCCAGCCAAGGTGGGCGGCCCAGCCCTCTCCACACGGGGCCCTGCTTCCACGCACCAAGGAAGATGAGCAGCACACCCACGCCGATCTGCAGCACCAAGGAGATGGAGATGAGGACCACCAGCGGCATGAAGAAGGCAAAGCTGGGGCCCTGCTCGATGACCACCTTCAGCTGGGAGGCATTGGCCATCAGCAGCGCGATGTCCAGCATGCTCTCGGCCGCACTCTTCTTGTTGGCGTAATGGTTCACGTTGATGGGCCGGTTCCTGCGCCAGTGGGAAGGCTGCGTGAGAGTCGGGGGGTGTCAGCCTCAGGGCACAAGGGCACACTGGCTTCCCAGGGAAGCCACCACCATCACCTGTCTGCTGGGTGCCTGCCTCTCCAGCCTCTCCTCAGGTCTGCGTAGTGGCTGGTGGCCAGCGTCAAGTGACATGTGGGGGACCCAGTTCACTTGTCCAGATATGAAACAGGCCTTCCCAGCTGACCAACGCCCATCCACCCATGCCACTTCCCTGCTGTGCAGGGCACACAGCTGTGCTCAGTAGATCTCAGCAGTTCACACTGCAGTTGAGCTTAGTGTCCCTCATTTTTATTTTTAAAAACCCTATCTGAGCTCCTTTATTGCAGTTGCCCTCAGTGCTGCGGTGGCAACATGCTGCCCTCACGTTCATTGGCCTGAGCACACTTCTGGGCTGCAGGGCCAGCCTGCCACCCCCAAGTGCCCTACATTCCTTAGGCCCTGCCCAGAGGCCACTGCCTCCAGGAAGCTCCCATATCTTCTGCTGGAGGACAGACAGGTCATTCTCTCTAGGGCTGGAGGAGGGCAGTGGGTACAAGGCAAGAGAGGGCTCACCTCTGTGGTAGACAGGAGCTCATCTCTGGGGACCGCTACCACTGGAAGGCAGTTCTTCCCCTGAGACTGAGCTGCCTCTGCCCAGGCCCCAAGACAAGCCTGTGCCCCTTGGCTCTGGCCCCCTGCTCACAGGTGCCCCTGGGCCCAGGCCCTAGGCCGCAGCCTCCTGGGACCAGTCACCTGGGAGATTCTGTTTCTAAGCTCACGGAAGATGTGGGCCCAGGAGTGGCTGCCAGCCCAGGAGCAGGCCCAGCACTTATGGCTGCCCAGAAGCCTGAGAACTGGAGCCCTCCCTGAAAGGCTGGCCAGGGACCTGTGGCTGCGTGTCCTGAGGACATGTGGGGTGCCATGTCAGAAGTCGGGGGGCCCACGTGGGCTGGGGCCTGCAGGGCAGGGGCAGGGCCTGGGGAAGTGGGGAGAGGGCTGCACTGGGAGCTACACAATTTGGAGCAGGGGCCTCAGCTAGCTTTATTGGTGTGGCTGCTTAGGAAAGTGGGGCTGGGGCCTGCCTGGCATGGCTGGCAGATGGCCGTACCAGCACTCACAGCAGTGGACAGGGGGCACTGGTGGTCCAGGAAGCACGGAGGCTGTGGGCCGCCCACAGCTGGCATGGGGTAGGGTGTCTCCCCACCCCTCTGGCCCTGGCCAGTCCATCCTTGGGCCTGCCGTGTGGCCGTGGTGACAACCCTCCTTGGGGGCTTGCCAGTTCTGTCTCGGACCTCACCAGCCCACACTCCAGGGAGAGCAGCTGAGGGCAGAGCAGGCCATGCATTGGCCCCTGGTGGCCTAACCATGGGAGGCTTAACCCGGGACACAGTCCAGTGGGCCCGGTCAGGGCTCCAGTGGTTTCGGGGAATGCCTCAGGCAGGGAGTAGACCTCAGGGGTCAGGTGGCTCCCGGGGTCTGGCAGCTGCAGCAGGGTGTGATGGGGGCATCTGCAAAGAAGGGACAGGAGAGGCGTGAGGGCTGCCGGGCCTCCACCCTGCCCTGGTGGCCCTGCCTCAGCGGTGTATCCAGTGACCAGCCCACAAGCCTCTGCCTCTGGCATCAGCAGGGCCCAGGGCTAACCTGGGCAAAGTTTCCCCTCCTGGGTCACTGTCAGGATTTAGAGGCCTGCCCTCACTGTGTCCCTCCCTTGGGGAGGGAGCAGGGGCTGGGCTGACCCATGGGAGAGGAAGGGCTGTTTGGGACACACAGCAGGTGATTAATAAATGGCCTGGTCACCCCACCACGTGTGAGGGAGCAGGCTGGCATCCAGAGGGTTCTGCAGGGCATGAATATAATAGCACCTGGGGGCCAGCAGTCAGGCGGCAAGCTGGGCACTAGGTAGGGCTGATGGCCAAGGCTTGGGCAGGGGTGCATGCTCCCAGTGTTCTGGAAAGTTCTCTAGGATGTTCCCAACACTTGGGCCTGGGAAGCCTGTTGTCCTCTCAGCCCTGGGGCGTTGCTGGTGGGCCAAGGGGCCCACCCTCCTAAGGGGTAGCCTTGATGCCATGCAGCCTTGGCCAGGGTCGATGCAGGGCACATGGCACATGCCCACCTTCCATGTGTCTCCACTCCCTGGGTGCTATGTCTGGGCACCCTGGGCCCATACAGGAGGGGCTGCTTTGTCTGGTGTGCTAGAGGATTGCCTGCCTCCCTGCTGCTCCTGCTCCAAGCAAGGTGACCTTGGGTGGGTGCTTGGCCTCTTTGGGCAAGGATAGGGCTGTACGTTGGCGGGTGCGCCTACTCTGCGTGCTCACGGGGCTGGGTGTGAAAGGCTGGAGCCCCCCAGGCCTACATGGGAGCCAGAAGGTGTAGGGGCGGCTCACCTGAGCCCCTACTGCCGGGGCGCTGCGTCTACCCCAGGCTTCTGGACACCGAAGGCAGTGATGAAGATGTTCACCACTACAATGATGAACACCAGGCCCGTGGCCAGGTTGTTGAGGAAATCCAGCTTGGCGTGCTTGGCAGGGTTGTTGAGGTCGTACCTGACTGGGGGGAGTGGACGCTGAGGGGTGCTGCGGGTGGGCTGAGTGCATCTCCCAGAGAGGGACGCACCTGCATTAACACCCGCGGGCAGTGGGCTCACCTGGCAGCCTGACGTCCATCTCCCTGCAACCCCTGTTTTCTCACAAGCAGCCAGTGTCTGGTCAGTGACCGCAAGGCATGCCCACGGCCAGGTCTGGGTTTGAAGGCACAGAGCGCTGAGCAGGCACCTCTGAGCACTATGCACAGTGACCTAGCAATCCTCACACCAACTCCAGGCCTCGTCCTTACACCTACTTTACAGGCAGGGAGACCAAGGCCCAGAGGGTCAAGTAACCTGCCCGATGTCACACAGCTATGACCTAGTCCAGACCCTCACCTAGGGGCCACCCTCTAGTCCCTGTGGACTGTAAGGACCAGCTGGTACATGGTAGGTGCTCAATACACCTCAGTTCTTTTCCTATGTCCTCAGCATGGGCAGGTAGGACAGACACACAGGGGCCCTCGGGGCTGCACAGGGCTGAGCGAGGTGGGCCGGCAAACCCCCATGCCTAGAGCATGTCAGGTGGTAAGCGCCCCATCCCAGGCTGTGCAAGCAAAGCCAGCCAAGGTGGGCGGCCCAGCCCTCTCCACACGGGGCCCTGCTTCCACGCACCAAGGAAGATGAGCAGCACACCCACGCCGATCTGCAGCACCAAGGAGATGGAGATGAGGACCACCAGCGGCATGAAGAAGGCAAAGCTGGGGCCCTGCTCGATGACCACCTTCAGCTGGGAGGCATTGGCCATCAGCAGCGCGATGTCCAGCATGCTCTCGGCCGCACTCTTCTTGTTGGCGTAATGGTTCACGTTGATGGGCCGGTTCCTGCGCCAGTGGGAAGGCTGCGTGAGAGTCGGGGGGTGTCAGCCTCAGGGCACAAGGGCACACTGGCTTCCCAGGGAAGCCACCACCATCACCTGTCTGCTGGGTGCCTGCCTCTCCAGCCTCTCCTCAGGTCTGCGTAGTGGCTGGTGGCCAGCGTCAAGTGACATGTGGGGGACCCAGTTCACTTGTCCAGATATGAAACAGGCCTTCCCAGCTGACCAACGCCCATCCACCCATGCCACTTCCCTGCTGTGCAGGGCACACAGCTGTGCTCAGTAGATCTCAGCAGTTCACACTGCAGTTGAGCTTAGTGTCCCTCATTTTTATTTTTAAAAACCCTATCTGAGCTCCTTTATTGCAGTTGCCCTCAGTGCTGCGGTGGCAACATGCTGCCCTCACGTTCATTGGCCTGAGCACACTTCTGGGCTGCAGGGCCAGCCTGCCACCCCCAAGTGCCCTACATTCCTTAGGCCCTGCCCAGAGGCCACTGCCTCCAGGAAGCTCCCATATCTTCTGCTGGAGGACAGACAGGTCATTCTCTCTAGGGCTGGAGGAGGGCAGTGGGTACAAGGCAAGAGAGGGCTCACCTCTGTGGTAGACAGGAGCTCATCTCTGGGGACCGCTACCACTGGAAGGCAGTTCTTCCCCTGAGACTGAGCTGCCTCTGCCCAGGCCCCAAGACAAGCCTGTGCCCCTTGGCTCTGGCCCCCTGCTCACAGGTGCCCCTGGGCCCAGGCCCTAGGCCGCAGCCTCCTGGGACCAGTCACCTGGGAGATTCTGTTTCTAAGCTCACGGAAGATGTGGGCCCAGGAGTGGCTGCCAGCCCAGGAGCAGGCCCAGCACTTATGGCTGCCCCTACTTTTTCCAGCTGGACATTTCACCACGGAAAAAGAGAGACCTGCTGAAGGGTGGAACCTCGCTCTGTCTGCCTTCTTAGGCTTGAATTTATTCTAGAAGAACATGCCCAGGAAGAAGGGAGGCTGGCACGCAGGACACTGGTAGCTGAGTTACCTGCCCCACCTCTCCCAATGGCACTTTGTGGAGCAAATCCACTTGGTTGAACATTCTCAGTGCAAGCACACTTGGGACACCTCTCTGGGCCCTGCAGCCTGGCCCTCTTGGGGGCATTCCAGACACAGCCAGGCCTTCGCCTCTCCACTAACAGCTGGGCAGGCTGCCCCATACCTGCACACTGCTGCCACCCAAGTGCCTTCCCTTAAGCCCATGCCACCTTTCACCCCAGTCCCCAGTCCTAGGGACACAAAGACAGATGCAGACCTCAAGGGAACCTCCCACCTGCAGGGAGCAGGGGAGCCAGAAACATATACAAATGCAAGCCTACCTACACACACCACACATACATACACATATGTGAGCATATACACACATACACACACACACATACATACATGCATGAGCATATGCACACATGCATCATACACATCCATACACAAACACACACACGTGTATAAACATACATGCATAATGTGTATACACACATACACAAACAAATGCGCATATGCCCAGGCTAATTGGCGAGCGGAGGGAAGCTCTGCTCTTTTTATTCTGAGCTCTCTGGAACCATTCAAGTCTTTCTTAGCCATGCAGCCACGGGCATGTTCGCACACACAACATGGGCGTCACGGCAGCACCCCAGTACGGGTGTGCCCTGCTTTCTACCTTGGGTGCCCCAGGCACAGCCCATTATCTTACTTGTCCTTCAGACACGTGCCCTCCCCCAGGGAGCCCCCTGTCCCCACACCCACTTACCATCGGTAAATTGAGGCTAGTATGGGAGGCATTTTGTCTGAAACCAACAGCACATGAAGGCTTCACTGGGATTTGAACCCAGGCTCTTGGGATCAGGAGCCTGGTAACTGATATCACGGACCCCCTGGAGGGTGCTGAGCACCCAGAGGCCCCCTGCCCCAAGCTCCAGCCGCAGTAGGCACTCTGGGAGGTTCTGGAGGTTGGGCCACTGTCTCAGAGCCTTGAAGAGGCAAGCAAGGGCCCTGGCCACGTACCTCTCCTGGTATAGGGTGCTTCCTGCCCACGCAGCCATCTGCTTCCTGCTCAACCTGGGCACTGATACGGAGCAATGGCTTGAGGCTCCTGGCTCACTGGCTGGGGGCAGTCAAGCCCTGGCTAACCACAGCCTGGCAGTGTGGCTTGGCAGCACACTCCCCTCTGCCGGCCTGTCTCCCCATCTCTACACCCTCTGGGAAGCATCCCCAGTGGGTTCCCTGCTGGAGGTGAAAGGGGAGCTGGAGACTAAGGCTGGGTGGGAGTTCCCAGGGCCACCTCAAGGGAAGGCAGATAAGAATTCAATCCTGCCCCATGCCAAGGGCTGCCTGGGACAGTAGGCTGGCCTCAGATCTGCCCTGGGGAGGAGGTCCAGGGGGCTGCATGGAGCTGAGCCTTGGGCAGGGATTGGCTACTGCGTGAGTCCCAGGGAGGCCCTGTCCTGGGGAGTCCACCAGGATCCCTGTGGGTCTGGACTGCAGGGGCCTGGATGAGGAACAGTGTCACAGGCAGGGCTGGATGTCCCTCCCCCTCACCGCCCAGCCTCCCCACCAGCTTGGTCACACTGCCTAGCAAATGGGCTGCACAACTCTGTAACTCCACACCAAATCTCTCACAAGGGGGACGATAAGTTGGGGAAGTGGTCAAGCCGGGGAAATGGCCATGGGAGCTAAGAACAGGGCCTGGGGGTTGAGCTCCAGCTGCTGGCCCACCAGAGCCCCTCCACTCAGGTGGGGGCAGCACAGGGGCTGGGCAGTGTCGGGGTGGGGAGGGCACGTGCAGGGGAGACACCTGAGAGGACTGTAGGAGCAGGCTCAGCTGCAGGAGCCTGCCCACAGGCCTGAGGGCACACACCCGCAGGGGCCACCAGCTCTGCCCTCTGCATCATGGCAGGAAGTCTCACTGGGGTTCCCACGGCCACAGGGCGTGGGCTGGGCAGACCTGCTTCCTGTGGGCTCAGCACTGGCCCACAGTGACCCCAGAGCCACGTTAGGCATGCTTTTTGAACTTGGCCAAGACCTCAACAGCCTCGGGATCTGCTGGGAAAGCAGAAATGAAAAAAACAGCAAACTTCCCCCCAACAGCTAGGGCTGTGCAAAACCCAGATGTAGCCCCAGGGGCTACGTCACTCTCCTGCCACCTTCCTGCTATGTCCTCAGCTGGCCTTGGGTCCAGTGCCACCTGCAGGGTCTAACACAGCTGCCCCCAAGCCATGACACCCGGCCACCCAGCATGATTCAGCCGAGGGCCACTCTCACAACAAAATGCTTACTTTTCCCCCTGCTGCCCCCCAGACATGAGCTGACTTAACAAAGACACCAGCCCACTCCCGCAGAGACCCTGGTGGCCAGCCTCATGTGAGAGTCTTGGGCCTTGCGCGCACGGAGGGAGCACCTGAGGCTCATCTGTGCAGCGGCTACATGGACACTCCTCCTGGTGTGCAGCCTCGGGGTGAGCAGGCCTGCCAGCTTCACACAAGGGCAGATGTGATGTGTGTGGGCTCAAGAAGCTCTGCACTGCCCAAGGCTATTTGGCGGCGCACAGTCAGTCTGCCCACCCCAGGGGCATGCTGGAGTACAGGAGTGACCCAGCCTACACACCCTGCTGTCCACAGCTTCTGCTCCAGTTAGCACATGTCTGAAGACCCCAGGTCTGCCCCTCATCCCAGCAAGATTTTCCTCCCACCCCGCACCCACTCAGGAGCCTGAAGTGGACACAGCAGCACCTAGAGGGTTGGCCAGGAGGGCAGGTGCTGCCCTCTCCAAACAGTTGCCCGGGAGTCACGTCCTGGCAAAGGTCTTGTGGGGCAGGTAGGAATAAACAGCGTGCCCTGCTAGTGGCAGCACTTCACACTTGTGCTCACCACACTTTCGAGGGCAGCACTGCTATCACATCACATGGGTGAGAAACTGAGGCAGAGAGTGATGTGCCAAGAACACAGCGAGCAGGTCCTGATGGTGGGAAGGGGAAGGTGATGCTGGGGAGCTCCGCTGGGGTCCTGGGCCCTAGGGGGGCAAGTAGAGGGGCCCTGAGGTTGCCACCCCTCCTGGAGCCTCCTCCTGGAACTGAACCCCAGGTGCAGAGGGCCTGGCCTCCAGTCACATGCCTCCTCCCCAGCCTCAGTGTGCCCTGTGGTCCAGCCTCTGGGCCTCTCTCTGGGCTGTGCCCTCTGCCTGGGACACCCTTCCTCTCATTGCAGAAGGTCACACCCTCAGCCTACTTGGTCCTCCGGGGCCCAGGACCAGCATCCTCACGGTGCAGGCAGTTTTCCTGAGCCCGCTACTGCCCTCCAACACACAAGCCCCTGGGAGCTCAGCCCAGTCCATCTGGGCTTAGGGCTCAGACAGAGGCTACGTGGCTGGGGCCGAGTGCCCCCCAACTGGCCCCACAGCCCATGCAGTGATCCCTGAGCACATCCACTCGACCCTGCGGGCCTGCCGTGTGCCCATCGTGCCTGTGGAAGCCACGGTGAACAGGTCAGGCTTGGAGAGGAGGGTGCAGCCAAGGGCTGGGAGGTGAGCAGGACCCCTCCCTTCAAGCCCACCTGCCCCATTAGTCGCTGGCCTGCTGCCTCACTTCCCTGAAGGCAGATAGGGTCACTGGTTCCCCTTGTGCACTCAGGATCGATGGCCCAGAGGTGAAGCAGCCTCTCCGCCATGCGGCCCCTTGGTCCAAAGTGCTCACATGTGCGGCAGGGCCACATGAGGGCTTTTCTGAGCCCTCACTATCCTCACCTCTCACTTGGAATAAACGTCCTGTGCTGCCCTAGGGCCATCAGGCTTTCCTGAATGGCCGCATGGAGGCTGGGCGCTGGAAAGGCTCCGCCAAGATGGTAAAGGGCAGGGAGGATCACTGTGGTGGGACCAGGGGCACGCGTGGGGACCGGCTCCGGTCGCCCCTGACCCCTGAACACGGCCTGTCACCACGGTCTGGCCTAGGACTGGTCGCCCACCCTGGGCAGCACCAGTCTGCTCCAGCCTGGCTCACACGGTTGAGAGGCTGCTGTCCTTGCTCCATCCCCATGGGGTAGAAACCGAAAGAACAGCCAAAGTCAACAAGTCATCAGAGGTCGCGCCCGGGACTATGGAAAGAGACGCTTGGAAGGCACATGCTCTGATGTTGGGGCAGAAGCACTGCCTGGCTCCTGCCTGGGCCGAATGCTCCCGGGTGCAGGCCAGTTCTGCACCAGCCGCAGGAGCCTGCAAGTAGAGGTGCCAGCGGGGCCACAGCGGCCCCAAGTTCCCCACCAGCACGCACCAGATTGTGCGGTCGCTGTGGACACCGTGGGGTGACGTAACTGTCTGCCCACTGCTGGCCGGGGGCCCAGAGGCTGGGATCCTCCGGGCGGGAGCGGGAGGAAATGCGGGGGCGAAGTTAGAGGCCCGGGCGGTGGGGGGGAGGGGGGAGGGGGGCGCCCGCGTGGGCGTAGGCAGCACCTGGCCCGGCCGCGGACGCACTTCCGCCCGCGCCCCCCTCACCTGCAGCGATGGCCGCAACGTGGGGCCACCTCTCGGGGCCCCGACGGGGCGGGATGTAGGGGACGCGCCGACGCGGCGACCCCACTCACCCTGCAGTGCGGGCGCTGCGCTCAGCCGGCCAGCGCCCGCAGGTGCCCGGGGAGCCGCGAGCGAGGCGCCCAGAGAAGACGGGCGCCGGCCCGGGCCCCACAGCGGCGCGGGCGGGACGCTTACCGAGGCGTCCGGGGAGCCGGGCGAGCCCGGGCGCAGGTCGCCGTTGAGCTCGTACTCCTCGGCTCCCGAGTCCATGGTGCGGCCGCTGGGGCCGCCTAGCTCCGAGCCTGAGCGCAGCCCGCGCCTCCGCGGGCGGGGACCCGGCTGAGCGTCCGCCCCCCGGCCCGCCCCCAGACACCGCCCCAACCGGGGCGGGCCGGGGGCCTGCAGGCCCAGCCCGGGGGCCTCCGGGGACGCTCCCTGTCTTGGCGAGAAGGGCGGGAGCAGCGTGTTTTCCCCAGGCCCAGGTTTCACATCAGCGTGTGCAAGGCACGTCCTCCTCTGCGACCCCGTCGTGGACCCTTCTAACCTATTAAATATGGCCTAGAATCAGCCTTGCCCTGGCCATTTCGGGCGCGACCAACCTGGGGCCCACGTGCGCGCCCTGACAGCCCAGCTCCTGGTCTGCGCCCCGGGAGACCTGGGTCTGGGCCTGCACGCCCAGCTTCGGCCTTTCCTCCCGGTAAATGAAGGCACGAAAGCCTCCTACGCGCTCTTGGGAGAGGCACAAAGCGGATCACCGCCGGCTCTGTGCCAGCTCCTGCTTCTCCAGGCGGGAGGCGGGCCAGAGCCTGTGGCGGCTCCCTATGTGCTAGCCGCTCTGGCAGCCAGAGAGCGCTGGCTCCTCCAGGCCCCCGCTGAGTCGGCCCTTGTTTACCAGGAAGCCTCAAGGCCTCAGGCCTGAGGCAGGCCCCTCCCAAGCATGCGGGGGCGGAGGGACTGGGCAATATCTCCTGGGCTGGTAAGGAAAGTTGGGGCCACCAAGTCCCCTAGTCCAGACCCTGAAGCCCACTTCCAGCCCCAGCTGTTTTTGCCCCTCCCGCCTCCTACCTTCCTCCTCATGTCTGCTGATGTCCCCAAAACCCACAGTGTGCAGCAAGCACAGTCCCCCTTGGCCTTCTCAGCCACCCTGTGTTGGCAGGGTGGTCCCTCACAAGTGCTAGTGGGCTCAGGCAGGTGGCTTGGCCTCTCTGTGTCACAGTGTCCCCACCTGCCAGGCAACATGGTGCCTTAGCACAAGGTTGGCTGTGTGGGCATGAGCTCTCCAGCACGGGTAAGCACAGTCCCCATGGCAGTAAGCCGGGCACTAGCTGGCACCCTGCACTCACCAGCACCTGCCCCATGCTGGGCCCTGTCCTAGGCGCTGAGGTTGCACCGAAGCAGCCAGGGCACCCCCGCGTGGGGCCAGGTGTGTCTCTGCTTTCAAGCCCTGGGGAGAGGGCATCCTCCACACGGTACAGGGGAGAGGCCCCGAGGATGCGCTCAGAATCCCTGGGAGAATATGTGAGCTGGACGCCTGGCAGCCTGTGGGACAGCAGGCGGCTCTGTGGGCATGGGGCTCCCACCCGGCTTGTGCCTGCCCTGCTGTGGGGGGAAGTTTTATAAGTGAAACCGGAGACAAAGAAAGTGCAGGTCACCGGGGATTCATCAGAACAGGGATCTTCCACTAAACCAGGAAGCCCACTCCTCCCGGCATGGGGGATGGGTGGCAAGGTGGTTTCCCATCCACTCACAGAGCCTTCGGGCTCCACTCCTCAGCACTCTGCCTCTTGGGTTCCTGGGGCATAGGGTGTGGGGTTGCGCGGGAGCTCATCCTGGCCACAGCTCTCAAGTCCCGAAGCCCACAGCTCAGACTGCCAGGCCCCATGTATGCAAGCATGAGCACGGCCAGCCCGGCACGCCTCCCAGGGCCTGTGAGTCCTGGGGGCATCGATTGGTTCTGCCCCTGCCAGGCCATCCCATGGAGAAGGCGCTCTTTGCCACAACATGGCTCCAGAGGGCTGCTGCCT